ACAAACGTTGGTGTTTAAGTCTGACTCTGAAACCATTTCTTCGCCCTAGCCCTTGACTAGCTAGCTCTTTTTAAGAGGAGGACACCTCCCCGCTCCAGCACCTTCACCCACTGAAAATGGGCCCTGGCCTGGTGAGGACCCTTGTTTGGCCCTGACCCTACTGAGATTTGGGGGACATGGGGGTGTGGGTGCCCCTTAACTGCTGTGTAATTGTGACCTGACCTGACTGGCTCTGTGCCCTCAGGCTGGTCCATATGTCTTTGGAAGGAGATGAGATATTATTTGTAGGCCCCTTTAGTCCTAAAGTCCTAGTAACATTCATCAGTTTCCACCTGGACATTTTTAGCTATAGAGGCAACAGTAACCGTTTTTTTTTTAAAGGAACATTTAGGCCTTTTGATCATTCAATTCACCCCTCCCCCTGTTTTTCTGTTTTGAAGACTATGAAAGTGATGACGAGTCTTATGAAGTGTTGGATTTAACTGAGTATGCCAGAAGACACCACTGGTGGAATCGAGTGTTTGGCCACAGTTCAGGACCCATGGTAGAAAAATACTCAGTAGCCACTCAGATCGTGATGGGTGGAGTGACTGGCTGGTGAGAACTTCTTTTTTCATTAGATACATTAAGAACCTGACTGCTGCCCTTTTGTAGCTGGCCCAGACTCAAGTGTACATGATCAATGAGTTTACATGGTTAATCCCCAGAGAGCACAGCTTTGAGGCTCTTTCTGTGATAATGATTGGTGTCATATATACTCAGACTCAGTGTTGGTGATCTCTCATATTTACCCCTGTTCCTCTGTCCTCGCTTTTCATATGATCGTTGGTGTATTGTCTCCTGCGTCCAGCTCAGCACATGTAGTGGGTCCGATTCAGTGGTGGTGGGTAAATAGGAAAAAAATTTTAGTTGATTATATGTAAATCATTTTTTTTACTTGTCACCCAGATGTAGCAACTAGGAAAACAGCTGAGAAACTCACTGTAGAATTGCTCTCCTGGATTGTCAGCACTGCAGAGAGCAGTGTAAGAGCCTCAGTAAAAATTATTGATGAAGATGCAGAGGATTCTGTTCATTTCTGTGAGCTGGTTCGGATCTCACAAATGATTTGCAGAAGAGCTGTAGAATGGTGGTTCTGTGTTGGAATTAGAGGACTGACATGCTTACTTTCTAATACTGTGAAGTACATTAAGATGGAAGCAATTAATAGGCACTAACTCAGCCAGTTAGCGATTCAGACTATGTGATTATATATTTACTACTGCGGATCTAATTCGATTACTCCTGGAATAAAAGATTGGCTAAATAAGGGGTTAGAAACAAGGCTGACCTTTTATTTTTATATGTTGATGACCATAGGGAATTTTTGTAGTGAGGGTACTTAACTGACAGTCATTTTCCCTTTAGATGCTAAGTTAAATTTATCTTGCATTGACTTAATTTAAATATTCAGACTTGATCCATGTAAGTGATTTGTATTTTATGTGCACTTTGAACAATGGCACATTACTCCATGTCTTTCTGTAAATGTTATTTTATGGCAAGATTTTACATTGTAGAGGTACAGTTTTTATTCATTCGGTATATCTGTTAATGCTGCTGTGTGAGAAAATTCTGAGGAAGACAGATGTCTGTTTATAGCCTTGGTCATTCAGACAATTCTCCACTGGCTGGTTGTACACTGATCTGCTAATAAAGGGTCTGGTCCTCTCCTTGTATAAGCTTACATTTGTTGCCACAGATGATTTGTTGAAGTGGTTATTTAGGGTGAGACTAAGAAATACTAGAGAAATAGAAGGATCAAATTCTGTTGTTTGCTTATAGGCCTGATACTTGGCAGAATTTTGATTGGAGAGCGTTGAGGTAGAGCCTGGGGTATTGGTAGGTTCATTTCAGTGGCCATGTGTGGAGCATGCTCCGTGTCATCTATGCAGGCCATCCATGCAGACCTGACTGCAATTTGCCTCTTATACTTTTCAGAGCATTTGTTGCTTACTGAGGGATAGGTTCTTGAAGGTAATACTTACATTTGAATTATAGCCAGGTGCCAGGAATTGTGTCCTAGGACTCTTGTCCTATGATTTGTTGCCATGACTATAGATTCAGTATAGTAACATTTTGCTGTTTTCTAAGGTTATGAAACTGATGGGATAATATCATGCCATACATTAAAGAGGCAACAGTGTAATAGGCATTAGTCAAACTAGTTAACAATTCAGGACATGTATGGGCAGGTAAAGACATTTTATTTATGCTTAGGTAGTTACAAGTTTGGGAACATGAGAAGGTAAGACTGACATTAAGCTTTGTGGCTTCTAGGAAAGACTGCAGGCTGGGAAGACCAGTTAGTGTAATATGGCAGCAGGGTAATAGAGACCGGACTATTACCAAGGCAATAATGCCCTTGACACCAAAGAATTAAGGCAGGGTCAAATAATGTTACAGAGATAACGTATATAGAACTAGTCAATCAGTTGGGCCCAGGAGAGGACGAAGATTTTGAGTCTGAGATGAACATGAGGTAGCAAGCCTGGAAAATGGTTCTGCCATGCACACAACGGAACCTTAATAGTGGTTGGTTTGGTTTGAAAGGTGATACTTACTTTGGGACATTTCGAATGTATGGTTCTGAATGCTAGAAAGGTCCAGAATATAATTGGAAAATGTAAAGTACCATTTAGGAAGGCTAGACTTAGAAATCTGGGATTCCAATTCTACCTTACAAATCTGGCTAGACCAGAGGATGTACACTGGTACAGATAGGAACTGGAAACACAGGGAATCCAGGGCAGATGTGATCCCTTCAGGACCAGTGGTGAGAGTGGCGATACCAGGAGGATGGGGCAGAAAGGGGGAACCGATTACAGGGATCTACATATAACCTCCTCCCTGGGGGACGGACAACAGAAAAGTGGGTGAAGGGAGACGTCAGACAGAGTAATATATGACAAAATAATAATACTTTATAAATTATCAAGGGTTCATGAGGGAGGGGGGAAGCGGGGAGGAAGGGGGAACAATGAGGAGCTGATGCCAGGGCCTTAAGTGGAGAGCAAATGTTTTGAGGATGATGAGAGTAATGAATGTACAAATGTGCTTGACACAATGGATGGGTGTATGGATTATGATAAGAGTTGTATGAGCCCCGAATAAAATGATTTTTTTAAAAAGAAGAAATCTGGGATTCTTCTGTGCAGGGATGCTGTGTGCCATTCGACTCATACTGGCCCTATGGGCAGCGTGGAGCTGCTGATGGGTAGGCTAGCAGCTGAGCACTTAAGCATTGCACTACCAGGGATCCTCTAGGGAACTGATATTCTTAACAGGATTGGTGAGGCAAACCAGGTTGAATATGAAGAGATAGATAAGGAAGTCAGGAGAGGGTCGGCTGAAGTCGTCATACATGGAGCACTCCAACTGCACTGTCAAGGGTAGGAAAGCTTTAGCTAGACAAAATCCCACCCCTCGAAGCAGCAAGTTTCATAGGTTGATCAAAGATGACCTATTTGGAAACTTACTGAGTTGAACAGAGTTTGGGTAGAGTAGAAGTTGGCCAGGTGTGTAGAGTATCATGACTTTATTAAAAAAACAAGACATTTTTATCATTCAGTCACATTAAGAAGATCAGTACAATCATTTCCATAATCAATTTCAAACCTTTTTCTTTTCGTACTCATTATTGTTAGCACTCCATTTCTCCCATCCTCCCCTACCTTGCCCCTAGGTAATTAATTACTAATCCAGTTACTGTCTGTATAGATCTACTTATCCTGGATCTAATGTATACAGAAAATCATACAAAATGCAGAGAGGAAGCAAACAAACAAAAAAACCCAACAACAATGACTAGACAGAACAGAAAAACCTCAGTCAGAAAGAAAGCAGAAAATATGAAAAACTGAAACAACTTTACAATGGGTCAAAAGGGAGATCAAATAATAAGGTATTACATTTTGACCTACGTAACTACATCTTCCATAATGGACTTGACCATGATCTCTGTCCGATAACAAGGCTGTTCACATTCCTGGACTATGTTCAGAGGGGATTCACTAGAGACTTCATGCATGTGGGAACTCTGCAAATGGATTTTGGGCTTTCACTGTCAATCATAGCCTGTGGTAATGATTGCATACATTTTAATATGATTCAACAGTTAAATTGCATGATTTGAAAAGTATATGCCAATAAAACTATAAAAACTAAGACCAAAATAAACTCAAATATTTGATAATTGAAAGAAAGAAAAAGACTTTCTGGAGCCACGGAGACTGGGTGAACCCCTGAAACTATTGCCTCGAAACTTTAAAACCCAAACCATCTCCTGAAGTCTTCGTAAAACCAATCAGCCATCTAGTTTAACTATAAAAGTGTCTGCCATGAACATCATGCTCTTTTGAGAACTCTCTATATGGTGTATGAATGGATTGTGATAAGAGTTGTATGAGCCCCAATAAAATGATTTAAAAAAAACAACTATATGGGATCAAAGTGACGAGAGAACCAAGAAAGATATGACAGCAACCTTAGGAAACAGTGAATTTTTATGTCAATGGGGGAGGAACAACTGAGAGGATGGATACACACTTTGAAGAATGTGATCAGTGTCACTTTATTGCACATGTAGAACTGATCGAATTGGTACGTGTTTTGCTGTGTATATTCTCAACAAACAATGAAAATTGATCTTGTTTGGAAATGGGGGCTTTCCGTTTTTACATGAATAAGGTCATAGTGCAGTAGGGTGGGTCTTAACCCAATCCCTTCTGAGTGGTGTCTTCTAGAAAGAGCAGACTAGACCGAGGGATACAGAGGGGAGACTGATGCCCTGTAAGGGCTCATCTACAAAGCAAAGAAACCCCGAGGGTTACTAGTGGAAGCCAGAGACTAGGAGAGACCCACAGCTGGAATCAACTCAACTGAGGTCATGATTTGGATTTTATCCTCCGGAACTGTGAGAAAATAAATGTTTGTGCTTGAAAGAAAAACAAACAAACAAAACCGCTTTTATTATGGTACATTTCAGCTGAGACAAATAGAAGCGGTAGATCCAAGTGAGTACCCATCTTCTAGTTTCAGTAGCCAGTCGTCTTCCCATCTTTCCATCCCTTATTTTGAAGGACCTCTCAAGCATTTCAGATGGTTCATTTTGGACGTAATTGAAAAGAAACGGGCTTTCTGAACAGGTGGAAGACATGATCAAAAGAAATACGGAGATATTAAGATCTTCCCCAGGACAGTGATGAAAGCTAGAAGAGGGGAAAGGCTTTAGTACGTCATTGATCATTCTCATCTGTTGTCATTTCTTTCATTAAAGGTGTGCTGGATTTTTGTTCCAGAAAGTTGGAAAGCTTGCGGCAACTGCGGTAGGCGGTGGCTTTCTTCTCCTTCAGGTATGTCAGAGCCGGAGTTACTTGCCCCTGCTCACATAGGTAGCCCTCAGAACTAAGCCAAGTGTAGCCATTTCACTTTTGTCTGTTTTAATACAAAGTGGAATTTTTCTTTTAGGCAGCAGGTTATGGAAGCACTGCAAGGAGTTTTGAAAATTTACATCTGTTATGAAAGACAATTTACATCTCAAGTTTTTAACTGTAGCTAGCTTGGGTCTAGCTGTTAAAAAAGGTGTCTTCTTAAGAACGGCCTCATTTCCTATCTGCTATTACTTAACCAGATTTTCCTTGAAGGATCTTTTTGGCAAAATAAGCCTGTCACCCATTCATTCTGACCATTTTTAAAAACACATTTAAAATTCACGCACACAATATATGCCATTCAAAAGGTCTGTTTCCTAGGTTTGCCATTTTTTCCCTATAAGAAATAGCTGTTAGCAATTTCCTAACAGGATTTGGTAAGGGAGGAAACTCTAATAATATAGGAAGTGTGGTGAATTGAGTTTCAAAATCATCTATAATCCTGTTTGTGAGACAGGTGGGTTTGAAATTTTAGTGATGTTCATGCTCCTCTGAAATATAAGATTTTAAAATGCTTTGCCTTTGAAGGATGCTTATCAGGCTATTATCTGGCGTTCATGTCTCTGTTGCATGTATATTTCTAAAAATATCATTCCCTGAGGATCAAGTAACATAAATCCAAAATGGAAAACATCAGCGAATAAATGTTAGTAGCAGTTTTAAAGTTGCAGAGGGCTGTCAGTTGTACCAGATTTAAGACACGATTGATGGTCACAGTAACCAAAATCTGACTTTAGCACCTAAGTCCATTGATCATATAATCTTCAGTATAGTTGCCTTAACTACAGAGGGACTAGATGGGAACAACTTTTGAGTTCGCTACTAAAAATCCTTTTTTTAAAAAATAAACATTTTCTGTCCATTGTTGACAGAATTAAAAATAATTACTGTGGTAAGAGGTGAAAAGGAATATGATTAATATCTAAACTTAGCATTTGTGCAGAAGAGAATTTGACTTAAGCTAATTTTGACTTTGGGTTGTGGAGACACAAGCACATTTAATTTAATAGCTATTTTGAAAACTCAGTAGTCATTTCTGTTTAGCATAGGGGGCTGGAAGGAAGCAGGGTTTCCTAAACTGTTCATAGAATAGCGTGAATTGTCTTTTATTCACTTTGTATGTTAGCTTTTTGGAAGTCCCTTTCAGTCCACTCAGTGTGCACCATTTACCAGGGGTCCTCAAACTTTTTAAACAGGGGGCCAGTTCACTGTACCCTCAGACCCGTTGGAGGGTCAAACTATAGTTTAAATAAAACTGTGAACAAATTCCTGTGCACACTGCACATATCTTATTTTGAAGTGAAAAAAACCAAACGGGGCAAAAACACCCGGCGGTCTGGATAAATGTCCTCGGCGGGCCACATGTGGCCCGCGGGCTGTAGTTTGAGGACGTTTAAAGACCCACAGAATGACATTCCCACTTCCTAGTTCTCTTGCTTGGTCCATGTATGTTATGAAGTCACACAGCCAGAGGAACATCTACGTCAAAACCATTTTCCTGAAAAATAGGACTTGCCTTGAAAGCTCAGTGGAGGAAACAGAAAATATAGTAACAAATGGCTGTTAGACTAATTGTTTAATATTGTTTAGGCTCCTTTCCATATACTTTTACCACCTTTGCCTGTGTATAAGATAAAAATAGAATCTTAATGCTTTTCTAGTAATTCAAGTAAATCCTTATCTATTAATTCACTTCCAGTAAAGTCTTAAACTAGACAGTGGTGTATCTGTATATAAATCTTTTCAATTTAGTTATTTCTTTCCATGTTAAATGCACATAATTCTAAGAGTCAAATACCTGTACAAGGCTTGTTACAGATTAGAGTGATCCTTTGTCTCTCTCACCATACTCCCATTTTCTCCAGACCAATTTTAACTCTTCGCAGATAGATTCTTAAGGTATATATTCTAAATAAGTTAATTGGGCATGCTTTGATCTTTCGGTTCTAGGTATTAACTGTTGGATTCTCATTATCAGCAGGAGCCCTTGTGGTGTAGTTGGGATGCTAACTGTGAGGTTAGCAGTTTCAAACCACCAGCTGCTCTACAGGGAACAATGGGGCTTTCGCCTCCTGTAAAGAGTTAGTTTTGGAAACCCACATGGAGCAGTTTTACCCTGTCAGGAGGGTCACCATGCGTCAGAATTGACTCCATGGTAGTGAGTTTTAAATGAACAAAGCCTGTGCCTCACAACAATTTAAATGTCATGTTTCTGGTTTTTCTCATTATAGAATATAAGAATTTAACTTTTCTTTTCAGATCACCTAATTTCCACTAATCTAGCGTCAAGCTCACTGACTGCTGTGATTTAGTCTACCAAGTGACTTTATTTTAGATATATATTTTATACTTTTAGATTTTCTACCTGATTCCTTTTTCCCCCTCATTGGTTTAAAGCATAGCTGCTTGGCTGCTGTAATGTCTTTATCATTCCATTATCTGAGTTCTATCAGAATTGGCTTCAGTTGATTTTCTTTTTTTCTTGAGAGTGGGCCACATCCCCCTGGTTTATCATGTATTGAGTAATTTTGGATTTTATTCTGATTGTGAATCTTATATTGTAGAGATTTGATTCTGTTTCATTCCTCTGTTGACAGTTTATTTTTTAAGGTAGCTAACTTGGTTAAGGAGCCCTGGTGGTGGCGTGGATTACACATTGGGCTGCTAACATCAAGGTCAGAAGTTTGAGCCCACTGAAGAAAGATGGGGCTTTGTAAAGCTCTTGTAAGATGGATAGTCTCAGCAACCCAAAGGGGCAGTCCGGCTCTGCCCTCTAAGGTTACTGAGTCAGGCTTGACTTGATGGCAGTGAAGTTGTAACTTGTTTTATACCATGAATGTGTGGTTCAGGAATCATCCAGAGATGTGGGTGGAGATTGGTATACAGAAATTAGGGTTCCTCTCCGGCTCTCTCCTGTATGGTGGCTATGGTTGTACTGGGCTCTGTCCTTTGTTTTTTTCGGTCAGAGAGATGGCAGGCTTTATTACAATTTTAGTGACCCTGTGAGTGCACTTAGGGTAAAATGAGGAACTCACCTTATATTGGCCCTTCCTACAAGTTTTGATTCCCTTTCAAAATCTACGTGCCTTCTGGGGGGGCTGCAGCGGAACAGCAGGGGAGGGGAGTAGCAAGATCCCCAGGTAATGATGAGGGTGGACATTGGAGACAGGGCATGGTGCCCCAACAGGCTAGACTGGAAAACAC